TTGCTACTTATGTAAGAAATGTGGTCATTGTACATGTGTATTCTGTTGGGAGCAACATAAATTTCTTTTGCAAACATCAGAAAAAAGTTGTTATGAAAAAGAAAAAATTATAGCTATATCAAGAAATTTTTCATACTCGGAGATAGAGAAAATAATAAAAGGTGGTGACAGCTATACCTCTCCAGCATCAGTCAACAACTCCAAAGTTCTAGCACTTGAAAGACTCCGAAGAATATGACGGCCACCTAAAATCTTCCCATCACTGCATTCTGTATATCCATCATAGATACTGTCTTTACTGGAAATCAGGTCTTTACCTTTGTAGCCATACTTTGCATCATTTGCAATCTTACTGTATGCATAGGTATTCTCATCACCATAATAATAATTATCCTTGTAACGATCATGCCTGTAAATTCCTTCAGCAAAATCATGTCCATATCCAAACCTTATAAAATCATCATATCCAACACCATCACTCAAGGAAGACTCATCATGAATCTTCGAGCTCTCTGTCCAATCATTATTGTCGCTATCATCCCCGTCGTCATCAGTAGTTCCATCACAATAATCTTCATCACTGATGCATTCATTGTCATCACCCAAGAAAGAGTCATCAAGTATGATAGTAGCTGTGACAAGTGATCCCAAATTCTTGAATGATGGGACTCGGACGTAAGGTGTGATGAGGTGCAGAAGTAGGAGGTTCGGAGCAGCAATGGAGAAGGCGCAACTAATCTCGCATTCGAGCATGATTAAAGTCTTCAAAGAGGCGGACACAATCCTAGGGCCCGCCACCAAGCAATCCTTCAGACCTAGTACTTCCAAAGACGTGCAACTAGAAGAAAGCTGCCCGAGGATCCTGTAGTCGAGCATGGCATACGACAGCTTCAAGACCTTGAGGTGGCAAGAGATGAACGACACGCGGTCCAGTGACGCGATCTCTGAGCAACGCCCGGTGAGATGGATAACCCGCGCGTTGCGCTTGATGGCGGCCATCATCCACGCGCTGGCGTCGTCATCGGTGAAGCCCGCTTCTTCGTCACTCGACCGCAGGCGGAGCATGACCACGGGCGCCGATTCGTCCCGGAGGAGGAAGAGCCGGTGCACGAAGTCGCGGAACTTCTCAGGCGGGTCGCCGTAGCGGCCAGTGGTGGGGCGCCCGCGGAGATCGACGCAGGGCACGGACGCCCAGAGATGGCGCCATCGCCGCGCGAGCACGCAGCTGCGGACCACCTCCCACGCCTTCAAGAATGACATGATGTAATGCAGGAGCTCGTCCGGGAGGGCGCTGAGGCGGTCGGGCTTGGCGACAGCCCGGCGGGCGCCGCGGCGCTGGCCCGGGCGCTGGGTGGTGCTCCGGTGCATTTCGTCGAGCGGAAGATCTGCATGCAGGTTTAGCGACACCGCGGCTCAGCTTTGTCAGTCAGGATTTTGAATGATGGAACGGAACATAACATACCAAGAGAGACTGCTTGAGATGGCCTAAACTGAATTCCGCCGAGAGACACTCACGTACACAAGAGCTGGCAGAAGCACTTGATCGGTTCCTGTACAAGCATGCACTAGTACATGTACAAGCATGCACTAGTACATGAGCCTGACTTGTAGTATAAAGTTGAAGATTTTTAAAACCTTCATCAAAGGATATGGAGCGCATTGCCGTTTGTTAAGGAAACTGGCACAAACAAACTGCCGAGTGGAATGTCACAAATTCTCCAAATCCACTACCCAAAATAGTAATAAAATGATTGTACATAGCGGCGGCGAAAGGAAAGCAGGGAAGAGGTGGCCACCTTGCAGCTTGGGCGCGGACGGCGTGGGCTCATCCACGTCGTAGATGTGCCGGAGGAGGGCACGGTGAACGTCACGTGGTGCCTCGAAGGCACCTATGCCGGCGGTGCCCTTCCCCACCGTGGAGCTCACCGTCGCGACGGCGACCGGTTGCCGCTCGAAGATGTGGGGCGCGATGTCTGGTGGTGGCCTTGAGTCGGAGTAGCCGGGGAAGGGAAGGAAAGGGATGCGCTTGGCACCGGATCTGGAGCGCCGCCGCGAAGCAACAGGGGAGATGGTCAGATGGGACTATCACAGGAGCAAATCCTGAAATAAGAACCGTGGGCGCCCCCGCACTCTCTTAGAGCATAGGCACTCTCGGCCGTCGGATCAATTTCTTGATGCATTTTCGACCATTCGATCTTGCTTCTGGAAGACCTCGGCCGTCGGATCAAACCAAAAACACTGCCGCAGTGAGTAGTGTGCCCTCCAGCGTGCCACCGCCCATTGTTTCTAGGCCCCGCCGAGGGCATTTTCGTCATTTCACATCTTAGGTCAACACTTGCCTTTTCCGTGTCGCTACCTCTTTCCCAATCAATGCTAGGGCTATTACGGTAGCAAATTCGTTAGAAAAGAGGGTCCTTTTTGCGCAGAAGCGTGCATTTCTGTGTACACATCTGTCCCATTGAATCTGTGCCATCCATCCTCAATCCAGTGGTCCAGCTTCCGGTTTTCTATTTTTGCAACTAAAAGCCAGATTCTATAGTAGTCGCCCGACCAATATGGCGACTTTTGACTGAGAATGCCATTTTAGCATACTAGTCATCCGACATTCGGCATGCATAATTTGTGAAGGGTGCTCCATATTCAACCCTTCAAATAATGTGAGGGCATTGGTTTGGAGCATGCATCATCCACCATCTGCTCGAGCGGGAAGAAAGTTTTGGCTCAGACTCTTCCTCCTGCATGCAGCCCTATCAATGTCGTTGTTGCCCGTGCAATTGCCGCTTCCTCCCTGACAATGTTGCAACCACGTATCCACCGAGTAGAGTGCCAACTAACGCTCTTCGTCACGTTCCCCTCCCGCACGTAGCAAATCAGGCCCAATTTCCATCCGGAACACGCCCATTCGTTGGTATATGGACCCATTACCTTCGCCATCAGCACCACATTTAACCTCTCTCCCCCATCCCCGTCGCCAACACACTCACCTCACCGCCCCCCTTCACCGGCCGCCACCCTGCCCTCTCCATCCCTGCCACCACACTCAATCTCATCGACCATGTCGATGCGGTCACGTCCTCCCCAGCAAGACCTAAGAGGTCCACACCAAGAGAGGTTTCTGGGGGAGGATGTGGGACTACTTCAAGTGGATCAAGGATGACGTGCACCGTAAGATAGAATCAGTCGTCGTCCGTGCCCGCCTACCCACCGCCCTCGAGTATTTTGAATGAATGTCGGTGGCAGCCTAGGCAGAAATGGGCGCCGCGCTCACGCCAGTTTCCAAATGCACGGTATGACGACGCTGGTAGAGTTGCTCTTATATCTCGCCAGCACAACCCATAAAAAACCACCCTAGCTCTGCACCATATTTTGTGGTTTGGTCAAGCCAGGCCCACTCTGTGAGACCACAAGTGGTGGGGCGAAGAGAATAAAGGGCGGCCAAGAGGAGCCGTCAGGCGACAACCAAATCAAGATTTGCCATGGGGCAAGGTTTTGCCAATTAGGTGGACGGGGACGCGAGTCCGATTAGGTGGGTAGAGGATAGTGCCATCTTGTTTACGCTTCCTAGACTCCTAGTTGGAATACTGGTCATCACACACATCATCTTGATAAGAGGACCCAACTGGTTAAAATCGGGGCAAAGTGTTAAATTGGGTTAAACACGACACATCACAGCAATTTTGGGGTACAATGTGGCTGAAAATTTAAATGGGGCAAATACTATCACAAATACACAAACAGTGGGTAAAAAGTGAAATTCACCATCTTATTAACAGTGTCCTTTTTCAACAACAAAAACACGGTGTATTTTTTCAGGTGTTAATATCTGTTATCTCTACTACTTAAAAAGAACGTAAGGTTCTCATTTCACCTCTTTTTTGTCCAACCTTCCGTATATACGTCGCACTCTTTCCTTATCCTCTTTGATTTTTTCCTCCCATATTTGATTGTTCTCCCATCCATTTAATTGTCTCATGTTTATTAACTTACCAAAATAATCACATATTTTGTTGGCAAGTCATTAAATTCTTACCAAATAAGTGCTTATCTCTACTACTTAAATCTCTACTACTTAAAAAGAACGTAAGGTTCCCATTTCACCTCTTTTTCGTCCAACCTTCCATATATACGTCGCACTCTTTCCTTATCCTCTTTGATTTTTTCCTCCCATATTTGATTGTTCTCCCATCCATTTAATTGTCTCATGTTTATTAACTTATCAAAATAAACACATATTTTGTTGGCAAGTCATTAAATTCTTACCAAATAAGTGCTTAACAATAAAATGGCAGAGAAATCATGGCGATTGCATACAAACATTTGGTAAGATTTTAGCGTATCAATATAATAATATACATGGATTCTCAAAAACAATAATATAGTACAATAATAGTCGTGCAGTCAGGGGCTAATCTACTAGAATGTTTATACTCCCGTTGCAACGCACGGGCAATTGTCTAGTTCTGAGAGAAAATACATCACCGCTCATAGTTGTAGGCACACATGATTCAGAGCATGAAGTTTACTTCAGTATTCGACCTGTTGTATATGAAGTGTATTTCCTTTTCACTGCATGTGAAACACATTTCAAATTTTCAATTTTGCATTAATTTCAATATACAACTATACTAAACTTTCGAAGATAAAATAACCCTGACAAATGAACCCTACAGTCATACTGTCGGAGTGAAATAACAAAGCGTATCTCAGCTCCACCACAATTCAGGCACGACACATCCATAATTTATTTTCTGTTCTGGTAAAAAAGCAAAGTTTACTACAGACCACACAAATGAATTAGTTTATAGTATAGGAAGAACATCCCAGCGATTTGTAGCCCATGCTACTAAAAAGGACGTCAAAAGATCCGGTGAAGCTTTGAAAGCATAATCAGTACTACATGGAGATCAAGGGTTCTTACTGCACCTTGCTAACTACATAATGGATGGTCGATCGCCAGCAGGATTTAATATCTAGAAGACCCCTCGTAAACTTCTGGACGTTTACATCCAGTCGTCCCCACATTCATCCAGTTCTTGTTTGGCGAGGTCCCTCATAAACTTCTGGCCACGGAGATCTGGTAGAAATATCAAAAAGTAGATGACTGTAGATTAGGACCATGTACGAAAGAACATCTTTTAATTTTACAGAATACACTTCTCATGTAACAGAATATTGATGTATACACTAAGCAGATTATATGCCCATTTATACTTATTTAGCTAACACGGCAATGTGCTCTTTACATCTCAGTAAATAGCATATGAACATATAAACCAGTAAGGAAATGCTGATATTGCAAGTAAATACGAAATGGTATAGGTATGACTCACAAGCATCCCCGCTCCGACGCACATAAATATTCTCTAGTGATATACCATTTGCCCTAAACATATGTGCCAAGGTGTGGACTCTCCAATCGTCCTTTGAACATTTGATCTTCACCATTCTAAGTTCTTTTCAAGTAAATGATCTTCCCTGTAGTTTGATACATGTTTCCAATGCCTTCCTTGTGCTGAAGTTCTTTAGCACATTAACCAAATTGTCATTAAGTGTGCGATCAGATACTAAAAACTAATAACAATGAAGTCTAGGATCAAGTAGCATGCACCAAATATGTAATCACACATACCAATTTGAGTTGGAGAAAAGCGTTTTTATATTAGGTGAATGCTGTAGCAAGAAAATTAATGCATCGAAATCAGCGGCCATACACCATTCACCAAGGGACAGGGTCTTCAGGTTGCTAAAAGTTGGACACCTTCTCAATTCCCTAGTCAGAACCACCTTCATAATGCAGACAAAAGAGTATTCGGCAAAGAACGGTAGTAACTCAAATCAACTTCTCACAGTAAAAACTGGATATGGATGGTTTATTCAACAGAAAAAAGATACCCATCTCGAAAAAGAAGGGAAAACAACATCTATCATATAGTGATGTATTGCTAGAAGAGTAGCACGTATTGGTTTCATATCATTCATCTTTATTTTCTAGTAACTGGAGGAACATCGGCCTTAGACACTCTTATAAAAACTGAATATATATAGCTAATCTGTTGAAAAGATACATTGTTGCAACAAAGAGAAAAACTGCAAAGTTGCAATGAGAACATAATTGATGAATAATACTCCCTTGAAGCTACAATTGATGATTAAATAAACTAGTACTACACCAGAGCAGAAGGTCGGAAATGTGCTCATTCGACACATGTTCTATTGGAGGGAACCCGGCATTTCATTGTGAAACATGTAGGAAATGTCCCATTATAACTATGACCATGCCAAGGAAAATATAAATAGAAAATAAGAGAGGAAAAAGAGAAATCAGTAAAAGATGGTGATTGTTATACCTCTCCAGCATCAATTAACAACTCCAAACTCGTAGCTGTGGAAAGGCTCTCCTGCATATGATGGCCACCTAGAATGTAACTATAATTTCCACCACTGATTTTTCCATAGTTACCATCTTCACTGGGAAGCTTCCCTTACCTTTGTAGCCATACTTTGCTTCATTTGCGATCTCACTGTATTCATAGGCATTGTCATCACTATCAATATTGCTACCATAATTATAATTATCCTTGTAGCGACTGTGCCCATATCTTTCTTCGGGAAAACCATATCCATATCCAAACTCGTCAAAATCACCGATGTATCCAAAATCATCATCATCACTCAAAGATGAGGCATCATGAATCGTATAGTTCTCCCTCTTATCATCATTGCCATCGTCATCAGTAGTTTCATCGCAGTCATCCTTATCGCTGATGTGTTCAAATTCATTGCTCAAGAAATGGTCATCAAGTAAGATAGTGGATGTGACTAGTGACCCAAAGTTGGTAAATGACGGAACTTGGGCATACGGTGTGATGAGGCGCAGAAGTAGGAGGTTGGGAGCTGCAATGGAGAAGAGGCTAGGAGGGGCAATTGAGAATCCCGAATTGAACTTGCACTTAAGCATGATTAAGGTCCTCAAAGAGACGGACACAATCCCAGGGCCTGTGACCAAGCAATCCTTGAGATCCAGCTGTTCCAAGGATTTGCAACTAGCAGAAAGCTGTCGGAGGACACTGTCATCGAGCCTGGCGTACGACAACTTCAAGATCTTGAGGTGGCACGAAACGAAGGGCACGCCGTCCAACGACGCGACTCTCTTGTGATGCCCGGCAAGGTGAATAACCCACGCCCCGCGCTTGAGAGCAGTCCTGATCCAGATGCTGGCATTGTCCTCGTTGAAGCCAGCGTCCTCGTCGCTGGGCTGTAGGCGGAGCATGTCCACGGGCGCTGACACGTCGCGGAGGAGGAAGAGGCGGTGCACGAAGTCGCGGAACTCCTGCGGCGGGTCGGCGTCGCGGCTCATGTAGCGCACGCGAAGGTCGACGCAGGGCGCGGACTCCCATAGGTGGCGTCACCAGCGCACGAGCACGCAGGTGGGAACCACCTCCCATGCCTTCAGGAACGACATGACGTGGTGCAGGAGCGCGTCCGGGAGGGCGCCGAGGCGGTCTACCCCGCCGCCGCCGGAGCCTGACGCCTGGTCGGTGCGGCGACACGGCCCCCGGCGCTGGGTGGTTGCCCCGCGCATTTCGTCGAGCAGATGGCCTGCGCATAGGTTCAGGGTCGCCCGACGTAAAGATTATGCAGGGAAATCCATGGAGGGATGCGCTTATGGGGAAGGGGATCAAACTTAGGAGAGATCCGACGAAATGGTGTTGAGTTCTTGCCGCTTTTGAAACGAAAACTCAAATTTTTCGGGATAGAGGCGATAGTTAGGGCGTAAATCATGTCTTGTTCCAATGGGCCTTTGGCCCCGTTATTTAGGGCGTAAACGGATTAGGTGTCAATGGGCCTTTGGCCCAGTTAGTTAGGACGTAGACGGACTAGATGCATTGGATATACGCTGAAAAGTTTCTAAAACAAAAGGATATACACTCAAAAAATTCTGGGGAAAAAAGATATACGCTAAAAAAAATGTAGATTGGATATATTCTCAAAAAGAAAATAAAAATATGCAAATTAGGATGGTGCCTTCCTAATTTTTGGTATTCATATTTTTCAACAGCGATTGGATGCATACATCTAACCTTTGTGTAGTTCTTTTTAGACCTATGTGTAGTTAGGATTTGCACATTACTAACACCAACGAACACAACCATCAATGGCAATAATTGAGAGACTCCATTTATAGGACAAGTATTTCCGGACGGAGAGAGTACTCTGGACCACATGTACCACTTCACCTCCTCTCACAACTACCCAGGTGATTAGGGTATCTCTGCCTCCCGTCAATGTCGCCGTTGATCCACCTCGTCTTTTGTGACCTTAGGGCCATGGAGACGTGGTGGGTATCGACCCTTGCTGGTGGGAGGCTTCCTACCCAATTTTAGGTGTTTTTAGGTCGATTGGGGACTGTGTCCTTCTCGGTAAGGCGGGGCGGCGGCTCATTGCGGATGGAATAAAGTCCTCATGCATAGACCTCATTTTCCGCAGTGTGTCTAATGTCGTCGAAGGGCATGTGGAGATGTGTCTCCGAAAAATCTTGTACGATTCGGTCGATGTTCCTCATCGATGAATCTTTGTGGATCCAATCTTTCGTTTCTGTGACTATGGTTTGGATCCTCCCCATCTATGCTTCTACTCATCGGCGACGGTTGTTCTTCTGGTGTGTTGGCCTTGTGGCGCCTTAGCACGACGACTTCTTGACTGTCTATCACAATAAAAAAATTCCCTGCTGCAGTGACGGGGAGGTGTTGATTGTGGCCTACTTCGACTCATGACACACGATGAATAGATTGGAAGCCACCCCCCCCTTAAAAAAAATTTAGCTACGCACACACGAAGAATCACACCAGCAAATAGTAAAGTCATACAAGACCGAAGTTATGCATTGGTGGAGTAAAAAACCTCCGTAATGTTGAAAACAATGATTAACAAACTCCAACAACGACCATATCCGCAACAACCATGCCTTGAAATCACAAGTAAATGAGAAATGTTTTCCAATAGCAATGCCTTCAGGAAGGGAACGACGCTCAAGCGCCATGGTCGCCAGATCCAACTGCCGAAGGCCAGATCATGGATTTTCACCTTGAAGATTGTTGGGGATATTACTACTGGACGTAAACCGGCCAGGGGTAGCCGGATTAGCCTTATGAAGATTAGAAGCCCATGAAGACATAAGAATGATGGCGCTTTATGAAGGCCCAAGGCCCAGAGGCGAGTTAAGGCATGTAGATATGTAAACCGACCTTGTTGTGTAACTTGCATTGTAAGATAGGAAGGATAGAGACCGAACCAGACACGTTTATGATCCGGCTTCGGGACTCTGTAAACCGGCGGGCGTCAACCTATGTATATAAAGGGACGACCCGACAACGGTTTAGGGACGACAGACAACAAACTCGAGAGCCAGACAAAGCGGACTCGCTCCCTGGCCTTCGAAACCCTAGCAATACCAATCACAACTAGACGTAGGCTTTTACCTTCATCGAAGGGGCCAAACTAGTATAAACTCCCCGTGTCCGGTTTAACCCCTTTAAGCTAACCTGTTGCGATGGCTCCACAACTAAGTCCTTTCACAAGGACATCTACCGTGACAAACCCACGACACTTGGCGCCCACCGTGGGGCTATCGCACGATGGTTTCGAGTTCTTGAAGGGCAGCTTTGATGGACTCAAGGGATACGCTGTGGGCCGGATGACAAAGAGTCATCACGGCAAGCTCTACATCGACAACGCAGGATGGGGTCCCGAGGCTGATTCAATCGAATACGGGTACCGGGTCCCCTTTGGTGGGATTCACGTCTTCATCGGCAAGATTGGCCAACCGGCCCCTGAGCCGGACATCTGCACCGACATCATTGAGACGGCTCAGCGTGCAAGCCTGTGACGCCCCCGATTCAATCGTACACTAATCATACACGCAAACGTGTACGATCAAGATCAGGGACTCACGGGAAGATATCACAACACAACTCTACAAATAAAATAAGTCATACAAGCATCATAATACAAGCCAGGGGC